TTTTACGTTTTCCGTTACTACGTCGTACCTACCGTACGTACGTACTACACTTAATAAGTACGACATCTCTACTAATTACTTCTACACACACATGTGACACCCTCCTCTCTCTCTCTCTCTCTCTCTCTAAATTAGTGGGTGGGTCGATTCTTCCTTACTACTCTCTCTCTCTCTCTCTCTCTAAAAATTTGTGGGGTGGGTCGATGTCCTTTCCTTAATACGTCTCTCTCTCTCTCTAAATCAATTTCGGTGGAGTGGGTCGATTTCATTTCCTTATAATACGTATTCCTTTGTTTGGTGAGGATATCATTTTTGTGAACATGGTTACCATATATATATATATAGATATATTGCCTTTCCATATTTGCACTACAAATTGAACAGACATATTCGAGGAAGTGGGTCGAAAGAGATATTTGAAACCATTAAATGGAAAAAAACTACGCCTCTGTATAAAATTATGCAGGTGTTCCAGATGTTTCGAATCTCACGACTCCAGGAATCATTTTTTAAGTTTATTTATTAATTTCCTTTAATCAAATATTTTCAATAAGTAATACTATAAAATTTCGTTGAAATTTTTGTTTTGGCCATTTTACAATTTTGCCTTGTCTCGCTTCTTATTGTAGACATGGGATTGAATTTTTTTTTCTTTTGTATTTTTTTTTTCAAAACGAAAAAAAAAATCATTGAACGATTACATCAAATATTTAAATTAATATTCGACGAGTTTTGATTAGATAAATCAACCATTTTTTACTACTTTGACAGCCTAACCAATGTCCGGAAATTTCTTTTGCAATATATATTTAATTCCTAAGCTATTCCTCATCATTCTTTTAATTATTCCAATACCAGATCTAATCTATTTGACCAGTTTTGATTGCAATAGATCCCTAACCAGTTCAAAGACCGGTTATGATAGCACTGCTTCAAACCTAATCAGTTAGGAACTGCAATGGATATGACCAATGCATTTTAAAATTTGTTTGTATAGGAGTACATATATTAGCTACTTTCTCTATAGAAACACTTCATTGTCCAAAAGAATAAGAGAAAAGCCATTTGCGGGATGGTAAACAATGAGACCGTTTATTTTTTATATAATTACTGACAACCATCCATTGTGAAATTTCATAGCTCCACAAAGTTTGAAAAAAATTCTTTTGAAGTTTAAGCTTGGTCAATAGAATAATTGTAGCCATCCAATTTCACATCCAATGGTCAAAATTAATGTGACCATCTTGTACCAAAGATAACTGGTTTCATTCTATACTTTCTCTTATCTTAAAGATTGATGTCAATGGGTGATCCATCTAAAAATAATAATTAGAGATCAATAGCCTAAATATTTTCTTCAACAAATTGTTATTTTTAGTTTTAAAATTTATTTTTTTACGTATTAATGACATCCATATTAGAGAAAAGGGTGCGGTTTGTATGGAGTCGAGGCTCTAAACAATCAAAGTGAAGCACATCTTTAAATAGTATCAATAAATGTGGTTTTAGTGCTGGAAATCTTTGTGATAGCCTTAAAATATATTTTCATCTTTAAGTATAAAATTTAAAGCTTAAAAAATAGTGTGTAGATGGAGCAGATCTATAAAAACTTGAAAATCTTGAAATTGACAGTAAAAAAATGCGTTACAAGATGTACTATTTCCAATACTTTAAAATCCATTTTTTTTAAATGTCCATGCATCTTGATGTCCAGATGATCAATTTTAGGATATTTGGACATAAAAAGACCTCTCCTAGTAAATTTTTTGAAGTGGTGTCTAATTTGATTATTTAGAGCCTCGGCTTTATATAAACTTTTCCTATTAAAAAATAGATCCATAATCCATCTCAAAAATGGAATTTTAAGAGGGCGCTCATTTCTACATATGAACCTTGTGACTCATATAAACCATATCATTTAATAATAGAGTTTATTTGCAATGATAGCACGCGAGCAGAGTTTCTCATACATCAGGGAATGCAATTCCAACTTGATGGTGCTAACAAAATGTCAAAAGATACTGTATATATATATATGGGGTTCAGATTCGCTACCCGAGTTCTTTATGGATTTTGGAGAGTGGTCTCACTTAAACAGGCGAGTCAGCGGACTCATCAAAACCTCACCCTTGAAAGACACCCTGGCAATACCTCACTATCAACAAGACAGGTTTGAAAAGTAGCTGAAACCAAATGATATCATGCTATGCTTTTGCGTTGTTAGTTACATATGAGTAGGCCTAGGGGTAGACTACCCAATGGTTAGCATGGAAAATACTTTTTTTTTTTTAAGATAAGGAAGGATTTTCGTGGATCCACCCAAATACCAAAGATACATGTGTCCCCCTAGGTCAATAGATTTATAACCTCCCAGACTAATGCATGTCCATTGTCTCCTCAAATTGTTGAATTTATAGCTTCTTTGATTAATTTACAGAAAATTGAAATGGACGGCTGGAAAAAATGGAACATGATTTGATGTTTTCACCGCCTGAAATTCCTATTTTCTTTAAGCAAAAAGTCATATACAACCAAGGCTCTAAATAGAATTTTTTTACTACAATAGGTTGTTTTGATGCTCAAATATCTCCAAATTGATCATCTCGACATCAAGATACATGGACGTGAAAAAAATATATATTTCAAGTTTTGAAAATAGTGCATCCTATAACGTATTTTTTCACTGTAAATTTTTAAGAATTCCAAGTTTTCATAGATATGCTCGATCTACACTATTGTTTAAGTTTTAAATCTTTATAATTAAAGATAAAATACATTTTAAGGTCATCACAAAGATTTTTAGTATTCAAACCATATTTCTCGATACTAGTTAAATGTGTGTTTTACTTTGATTGTTTAGAGCCTCGGCTCTATACAACCCTCACCCTTTCTTTACTTCAGAATTGTGGTAGCGTAAAGATAAGTCTATTGAGCTTTGGATTCTTAATCAATCTTAGAGATACATTTTCGATATGTTTCGGATTCTAAAAGAGATTTGGATCCTCAATCTATCTCCAAGATTAATTATGGAAGGGTGAAGCCTGGGACACATCTTAAGTCTCATTCGTATATCTCTCTTAGATTATGTTGAAAAGTTTAAAAAATATGTGTACTCTCATAAAATCCATTCATATTAGGATAAGGATTAGGTTTGGGCTCGAGTGATTAACAGTTGATGTTAGCAATACTACGTTTCAAGCTTGATTCCTACCGTTAAATTATTCAAAAAATAATAATAATAAAATTATGGAAATACCTATGAGAGTTGAACTATTAAATAGTTTATCCATGTAATTTGATTTAATTCAAAATACACATTGAAAGACACAAGATTTTGAGTTGAAATAATAGCAAATACATAAAGTATAAAAGAGGGCATTTATCGTGGGTCATTTTTTTTTTTTCGTGAATAAAAATTATATAAAATAAGGACGCATCCTACAATCAATTTAAGTCGCCCTAAACAATCAACTTAAGGCTCACCTCAAAAATTCACTAGAAGAGGTTGTTTTGATGCTAAAAAAACCCTCAATTTGATCATCTCGACCTCAAGATATATGAACATAAGAAAAAAATAGATTCCAAGTCTTGAAAATAGTACATCTTGTAATGTATTATGTACGTCGGCATTTTTCCATATTTTCAAGTGTGAATAGATTTGTTCGATCTATACTATTTTTTAATCCTTAAATTTTTATAATTCAAGAAAAAAATAAATTCTAAGGCTCTCATAAAGATTTTTTATCCTAAACAACATATTTCAGGAAGGCACGCCTTATTTTGATTTTTTGAGGCCTCATGCTTATACAAACCACACCCTTTGCCAATTACCTGCCATTTAACATGCAAAAAGCATGTCATTCTTCTATACACATTCAATGCTCTCAAACGTTAGCCGTTACTTTCTACTTTAGCCGTTACTTTGTTCTTGGTCTTTACCATAACACTTGGCTACAAGGTAACGCATCCGGTGCAAAAAATTACAAAACGATGGTGAGCCGGCTTACGCATGAGTCGGTCTTGGTTTCTAATGAATTTGGGAGATTGAGCGCATCAGTATCACTTGCCAATCAATTTTCACCTCACATTCCTGAGCATGGGGCTCAGAATATCATGCAGAATCTAATGATCTTTGAAGAATTAAAATGAATGATAAAAGAATAAAAAAAGATATCACTTTTAGAGGCTAAAATTCAAAATTTTATAATTTATGGACATGGTGGTAAAGATGATAATTTTTCTAAATTTGAGATAAAAAAAGAACGGATTATCGATCAAACAACGTTTTTCTAGAATGCACCTAAATCTGAAAATTGGTAACAATGCAAGGAATGGGCTCAAAGCTAGGTGGTTAGAGCGGATGGGTGTCACAACATGACAGCTTGAATTCTATTTCTACTATGATTCACATACCCTTTCCCTATTGAACTAATCAAAGAGAAGAAAAAAAAAGCAATTAGAAGAAAGAATCATGTTGTGTTCAAAATGTTTAGGTGAAGTAGAACTAGTGTTTGTAAAATCGAACCGGAATGGCTAACCAGACATTAGGCCATAAGCATTTTAACCGGGCAAGTTCTAAGCGATCAAAAAATTATTGAAAAAAAAAAAAGATACAAAAAAAATATTAAAAATTTATAAAGAATGATTAAAACAAAATACATTGAAGTTGAAAATTAATGAAAAAAAATAGATTTCAAAGAATCGA